GGGGGACTGGGAGGGGGCGTGGTGGTTAAGGCACTGGACACTCCCACAAAGCCGACCATGGTTGAAGTCCTGGACTCGGTGGCTTGCCTTCTCACTTTCCTCTGTGTGTGTGTGTGTGTGTGTGTGTGTGTGTGTCTGGTCAAATTAAAATAAATGAATAAATAAATAAAATAGAATAAAATAATTCTTAAAAAAAAAAAAAAAGATTTCTTGCTCTTCTTGAAAAAAGCAGTAAGAAGTCTAACACAGTGACCGTCTTTCTCAGGGCAAGAACGGGTGCTGAGCCTCCGAAGAGGAATCCAGTCTGGTTGCCACAGTCTTCACCACTCCCTTTCGCCTCCCCAGCCTAATTTTCCTGCCTTCCGTCCAGCTGACGGGCCTGGGTTTGCAGCCTTGCTTACCCACCCACACAGCCACCCACTCCACCCACGGGGCAGCCCCTCATTCACTCCTCTGTCTGCCAGCTGCTCTGGGGGGGCTCCCCTGCCAGGCTGTGGACTGGGTGCAGAGGGTACCCAGGGCGGGGCCTCAAATACAGTGGACCTCACCGAGGTTCTGAGCACCCCGGCCCCCAGGGCAGCGAGAAGCCCGCGTGCTGTCCCCACCCCCGTGTGCCCACTGAAGGCCCCTCCAGCAGCCCGTCCATGGTGCACCCAGTACCCTCCTGCTCTTGGCCTGGTGAGCTGGGCGGGCCCCTGGTCTGGAGGGCGGTCCCTGGCGGTGGCGGGCGGGGCGGAGGCCTACCGGAGTTGTCCTCGTCCTTGCGGATCTTGAGCTTCACCAGGTCCTCGCACTGCCGCAGGATCTGCACGGCGTCCTCCATCGGGCAGTTGTCCAGGCGGATGTTGTCGATGGCCAGTAGCTTGTCGCCTGGCTCCAGGGTGCCCGTCCTGTGTGAGCGGGGGGTCGGGAAGGAGCGTGGTGCGCGGGGAGCCGTCCCCGCCGCCCCGCCAGGCCGGGCGCCCCACCTGTGTGCGACGCTGCCCTTCTTGATGTCCGAGATGATCAGGGGCTCGCCCTGCCTCCTGCTGGCCGCTGCAGGGAAAGACACCGGGGAGCCCGCCCTGGATGTCCTCGGCCTGGGCGGGGCTGGGGCGCAGGGGAGTGGCGAGGCCGGGGGCGGGACGACTCAGAGCCACACAGGCTGCTCCTGTCCTTGTCCCCCCACTTCCTGGCTGGGTGACTGGGAGCGAATCTCCTCCCTACTCTGTGCCTCAAGTTTCCCCTCTAACATGGGAGTGACCCCACCGACCTCATGGGCATGAGACGGAGCCTGGAGGGTGGTGTGGTCAGTGCGTGTCTCCAGCACCCGGCTCAGGGCCTGGGGTCACAGAGACCCAAATGGGAACACCCAGACCAGCTTTGGTGGAGGCCATGCCTCTGCTGTGGGGCAGAGAGGAGGGGGGGGTGGGCGGAGGGTGGCGCGATTCAAAATCGGGTGGCCGGAAAGGCCTGGGCAAGGGGACATTTGAGCAAAGGCCCGCAGGAGGCGGGCGTGGCAGGGGGGGGGGGGGGGGGGTAGGCCTGCAGGAGGCGGGAGTGGCAGGAGGCGGGAGTGGCAGGGAAGCCAGCAGTGGGCAAGGGAGAGAGGGAAGAGCAAGGCTGGGGCCAGGGGTCCAGATCGCGCGGGGGCCACGGGTCCAGATCGCGCAGGGCCGGCTTGGCCCCCTGAGGTCTGCAGCTCTTCCTCAGGGGGAGACTAAGCGTCCCAGGAGGGGGCTCAGCGAGCCTGTCCGCTCATTCTGTGTCTCGTTTGTTTTTGTGTTTGTTCTGAAATTGCTCATTTCTGTCCCTTTGACAGACGTGACCTGAGCACCTCCCAAGCCCCGGGTCTCTTCTGGGCTCTGGGGACACAGAGGCAGATGGAAGACCAAGGTGACAGTTCACTGAACACCCTCACCCAATGGAACCTCACGGCCCCCACAAGGCTCCTAAGGCCGGAGGTCCCTACGGTGCAGAACGGGAAACCGACGCTTCGAGAAGCGTGGGTCTTACCCGTGACACAGCGCTGGGCCTCGCAGAGGGTCGGAACCCAGGTCAGCCCGGCCCTCCCCAAGACGCTCCGCGGGCCTCCCTGGGAGCAGGGCCATGCACTGCGGGTCCCTCCCGGCAGACGGGCTCACTCCAAGGGACAGGGACGGGGGGCAGGAACCCTGGTGGGGACACTCACAGCTGATGGTGATGCCCAGCTCCACGCCACGCCGCTTAGGCAACTTCACGTGGAAGGTGCCACTGCTCGGGATGACGGACTCTGGGTACAAACAGACAGAGCCCGTGTGAGACCCATGGGGAGGGCGGGGCGGGGGTCCAGCCTCCTGGAGCCCATCACGTGTCACATGCTGGCCTCTCCTGGACACGGTCACACGATTTACCTCCTCGTGGAACCCAGACAACACCTGCCCATATGCCTGCATCCGTGTGTGTTGAGATTTGCTCCTGGTGGGATTAGGAGGGTCCAGCTTAACAGACTATGCTGTTGAAGGTGGGGCCTGTGACCCAGGCGGGCTGGGCCGGAGTGGGTCGTGGTGTAAAGATCCTGCCAGGGCCGCCCCCCTTCTCTTATGCAAAGAAACTTTTGTTTTTGAGAGAGAGGTTTTGCTGTAGGATGCGTGGACTCAATGCAAAGACAGACAGACAGCAAGTGAGAGCTCACCGCCCAGGGGGGATGGCACGCCGCAATCCCTTCTCCTCCATTCTCCTCCCGGGATGTTGGGCACGCACACACACACCCGGCGTGAGTTTAAGCCACCGGGTCCGGGACTCGAACCAACGGTCAACTGTATGGGAGTCCGGTGCCTTACCCACTATGCTACCTACTGCCCAAACAAAGAAACTCTTTTCTTAACTGTGAGGCATTCGGGATGATATTAGGGTAAAGGTCACCAGGGCTGGGCTCCAGGACGGGTCCTAGTGGGGTACGGGAGAGGGAAGGGGACAGAGACTCGTGAGTGGCCACGACGCTCTGCTCCCGTCCTCCTGACACAACAAGGACCCTGTAAGATGCCACTGGACCCCCGACTGCCAGACCTCGACTCTCTCGAATGACCCAAACTTGAGTATTCTCTGTTAATTCTCTCTTATTAGCAATGGGACGCTCTGGGACTCCCCCTACAGACGAGAGAGTCACCCCGCTGTTTCAGCAGGGAAGCAGCCGACGGAGGGGGATGCGTCCTGACCCAAGTCACCCAGTGTCCCCATCCCAGAACCAGAGTTCCCACCCGGGGTGTCTTTAGGTTCTTGCCAAAGCCATGCGAAGAGGGAGCTGGGGTATTTTCTTTTCTTTCTTTTTTTTTTTTTAGAGGTTTTTGCTATAGGGTGCGTGCTCTCGCTAGAGAGAGAAAGAGAGACAGAAAGTGAGAAATCACCCCCCAGGGGGGATGGCCACGCTGCAATCCCTTCTCTTCCATTCTCCTCTCGGGATCTTGGGCACGCACGCACACGCGCCCGGTGTGAGTTTAAGCCACCGGGTCCGGGACGCGAACCGCAGTCAACTACGTGGGAGTCCAGTGGCATAGCCATTATGCTAACTGCTGGTCCCCACCCGTGCTGCCCCTCTGCAGAAGGTCCGTTAGCCCACACGCTCCCGGAGGGCCTTCCTCTCTACCTCGGTGCCCTCGGCGCTCAGGCGACGGCTGAGCCCCTGGGGGTGCGGTGGAGGGGCCTCTGACAGGATAAAGACAGCGGGTGCGGGCCCCTGGGGAGTGAGGAGGAAGCAGGAGCCCCTCACTCACCGGCCACGTCGAACTCGACCTCCAGCACGACCTTGTGGGCCAGCGCGGCGTCCCGCAACAGCTGGTTGGCTTCTTCCATGGTCCCGTCCTCGGTGGCGATGCCATTGATGGACAGGACGCGGTCCCCTACCTGCAGCAGCCCACACCTGGACCCCGGGGGCCCGGCGGAGAGAACAGGCTCCCTGAGTGCCATCGGGAGCGGGAACGTGGGGAGCAGGCCAGGCGTGGCTCAGCTCTGCCCGTGCCCACGTCAGACCACTGGCCACTGGCATGAGTATGGCTAAGGGAATGACCTTGCCAGGCCTCATCTCTCTCTGTCCAATGGGATGACGCCACGGGCCTTATGAGAAGGGCCTACAGAGGGGTCTGAGTTGAGACAGACAGGGGTTCAAGTCCTGGGGATTCTAGCAGGAGCTGTGAGATTCTGAGCAAGGGAAGCTTTTTCTGAACCTGACTTTTCTCAGTTGTAGAGTGGGGCTGACGGGGCTGCTGTCATCGCTAAGTGACATTCGCTTCGGAAGCCAGGGCTTGGCAATGGGACCCAGGTTCCCCAGCTGTCCTTGGGCCCCGGAGCTGGACAGCGGGGAGGGGCAGCGGCTCACCTCTCGGCCGGGCTGTCTGGCTCAATGAAGCGCACGAGGGGAGGGGAGGACAGGGTCTCCGTGGCGAAGATGCCACCCTGGAGCTGGAGGCCGAAGCCGCTGAGGGGGTCTCCGCAGAGCACGACCTCCGTGGTCTCTGTGTGTACGATCTGCCCGCCCGGCCCGACGGTGCTGGAGGCCAGGGACACTGCGGGACAGGGGGACGCTCAGCCGGGCCGCCCACCCAGGCCTTCCCGCCAGAACCTTCCCTCCCCACCCCTGCGCATCCCGGCTCCACTTGGAACCGGGCTGAGTCGGGGCCCGCTTTGACCCTCGGTCTCCTCATCTGTGCAAGGGACGGCGATTCCCCCGGGCGGGGTTGTGGCAAAGACTAAGCACCTGGAGCTGTCATTGTCTGGAACAGGCTCTGGGGGCAGCGTTGTGGCATTTTATTATTGTACTCTCATAATACCACAGCACGTGGCGTCTTCCAAAAGTTCATGGAAACGCGTCTTACGAGAAACTACGTGTGGATTTCAAAAACAATTTTTTACAAATAAACTCAAGGAGCCGGCAGGTGGCATGGTGGTCGAGGCGTTGGACTCCCACACGGCTGACTACAGTTCAAGTCCCAGACCTGGAGGCTTCCTTTCTCACTTTCCACTCTCTTCTCTCTGGTAAGCACACATGCCCGATAGCAAATCAAAAAGCAATGGGAACCAGCAGTTAGCGTAATGGCTATGTTGCTGGACTCCCACGTAGTCGACCGCGGTTCACGTCCCGGACCCGGTGACTTAAACTCACGCCGGGCGCGTGTGCGTGCGTGCCCAAGATCCCGAGAGGAGAATGGAGGAGAAGGGATTGCGGCATGACCATCCCCCCTGGGGGGTGATATCTCGCTTTCTGTCTCTATGTCTCTCTCTGTCTGTCTGGCGAGCACACGCGCCCTATAGCAAAAACCTCTAAAAAAAAAAAAAGTAATAATAGGGATGGAATGGCTACATCGCTGGACTCCCATGTAGTCGACCATGGTTCAAGTCCCAGGCCCGGTAGCTTAAACTCACACCAGGCGCGTGTGTGTGCGTGCCCAAGATCCCAAGAAGAGAATGGAGGAGAAGGGATTGCGGTGTGACCATCCCCCCTGGGGGGTGATTTCTCGCTTTCTGTCTCTCTCTCTCTTTCTGTCTGTCTGGCGAGCACACAAGCCCTATAGCAAAAACCTCTCTAAAAACAAACAAACAAACAAACAAACAAAAAACACACAAAAAAAACCAAGAGTAAAAAAGCACTAAGTACCGGGACCCTCTGGCTGTGCCCTGTGCAGTGCGTGAGCTGCCCAACTGCCTGGGCCCCGCCCCAAACACCGCCCCCACGCACTGCGAGAGGAGGAGCCCACGCTTACGTGAGCTCTTGTGTTCCCTGCGACGCTGCCTCCTTCGCCCGATCGTAGTCCGGGGGCTCATGGGCTGGGACCCGCGGGGAAGTGTGCTGGCGTTGGTGCAGGGGAAGGCGTGGTTCATGATGGGCGAGGAGAAGGGGGTCGAGGACCAGGCTGGGGAGAGAGCACGGCCCCGTGAACCCCTAGCGGGGTCCCTCCGCCCTGCCGCACGTGGCAGCCGGAGCCACCCAGCCACCGGGAGAGGCAGGATGGATGCCTTCCCCCTTTCACCTGGGTTACTTGCTGTGTGACCTCAGCCAAGTCTGCTTCCCCCTCTGGGCTGCAAACTGGCAGGGGCCCATCTTGTCACTGCCACGCTGGGGGACGCGGGGCATGTCCCTAACTCCTCCCCACCGTAGGACGGGCACCACCCCCAGGAAAAGCCAGCGGGACTAGCGGATCTGCAGGGGTGGGCACATTACATCGGCTCTGGTCCTGGCCGGCAGGCGGGGCCCAGCTGGGTGTCCTGCAGTGGCCTGGCCGGGGGCTGTGGCAGGGCGGCACGCAGGGGTCCCAGTGGTGTGGCTGCTCGCTCCTCTGCGCCTTCACTGCAGGGGTGGAGAAAGCGGGGAGGGGACCGGACTGAGGCTGAGCGGGCCTGAACTCACCCGTGCCCGGGGAGGCGGAGCTCCTGTCTGAGGACCAACGCAGGACAAGGGAGGCAAGATGCCGGGTTTCCCCTGAGCCGGGCCAGGCCAGGCCGTGTTTACTCTGCTCCCTTGTTCAAATGCCCACTGTGCTCTGGCTCCGGGCTCAGGGTCCCAGCTGCAGCCTGAGCCGAGGGACGGCAGGGAGAGGAGGCCAGGCCAGGCGGGCAGCCCGCAGGTGGTGCATCTGGGCCTTGAACCTAGGCAGCCTAGAGCTGGGAGCTTTCTCCCCCCTGTCCAGAAGGTTCCTCCAAGGAGGACGGGTGGAGGGCAGCTGGCTGCCGGCCTGCGGCTGCGGAGGGGCTCCCGGCTGGGTGGGCAGAGCCTCCCTTGGGCCTGAGACTCCTCCATTGCCAACCTTCCCAGGCCGAGGGACCGCGCACTGGTGCAGCCCTTCCCTGGGGGAGGCTGTCCGTCTAAAAATCCGACCTCCCCCAACCTGAGCCTCCACCCTCCCCATCCCCCATCCTCCTGCTCCCCCTCCCCCATTCCCACAGACTCCTCTTCCCAGAGGGCTCCAGGCCCTGGCCTGGCCCAACATCCCTCGGATAAGGGAGGACTCAGCTCTCAGTCCAGGGCGTCGGCTGACCCGGGAGCCACCTCTAATTCCAGCTCTACCCCAGACGGCTGTGGGACTTGGACAAGTCACTTGGCCTCTCTGTGTACCTCACTCCTTATCCGTAAGACGGGATGGAGGCAGGGCTACCTCCCAGGGTCTGAGGGTTCAGAACAAGGCACACGCCGGTGGGCTCAGGGTGGGGCCTGGCACAGAAGTGGCCCCTGGACAAGCGCTGGAGACTGCTGGCCCCACGAGTGACCTTGTCATGTGGCGTCACTGGCGTCTCCACAGCAGGTCAGCCGTGATCCTGACCGCACAGAACACAGCCGGGCGAAGGCCCAGTACAGAGCCGGCTCGGGGCTGGGGCTCAGTAAACGGTAGGAGGGAGGCCTGCAAGTGGCGTGGTGACACTGAACTCCCACGTGGTTGACTGTTCAAGTCTCGGACCCGGCAGCTTGAAACTCACACCGGGCGCATGTGCGTGCATGCCCAAGATCCCGAGAGAATGGATTGCGGCGTGGCCACCCCCCCCCGGGGGGTGGTTTCTCACTTGGGCTCATGCTCTCTCTGTCTCTCCAGCAAGTGCATGCGCCCTATGGCAAAGACCCTTTTTTTTTTTGGAGCG